TAGCCATAGAGCAGCAGCGCAGGCAGCTCCGGTGAGCGGGCCACGAGTCACCCGCCGCTCATCCGCTCCCAGGTGGGACGGGCTCCCGGTTGTTACTGCTGGGAAACCCTGTGATTGGCACATTGGGCTGTGCACTCTAAGGTGGAGCGGGTTCAGAACTCGCACGTGACGGTGGCTTCATCCGCGAGAGTTCAGGCCCAGGGCACCCGAGACTCCAGTGGTCTGCCCTGTGTCACACTTGTGTCCCGAGTGGTGGGCCTGTGACCGCTCTGCTCATGGCTCTGAGCCTGCCGACGGCGCTGTAGCCTGTCCTGGAGGCGATGGAGGGGTCAGGACAGAGCTCAGAGACATTCCCTCCCTCGGAGACCAGACTCCATGCGTTGGCGGCCTGGTGAGGCCACAGTGTGCGCGGTGACCTTCGACCCCGCTCACGACCCCGCCCTGGACCCTGGGAGGCACGCCTTCTCACCGTTGACACTGTCTGAGCACACCCATACTCACCTTGCTCTGGCTGGAGCACGGCAGGCCACGTGGCCATGGCGTGTGCGTGAACGGGTCTAGATGTCTTGGTAGTGCGGCTTCCTCTTCCTCTTCCCCCCTGCCCCTTCCTTGTTAGAAAAACTCAAGGTATAAAGCCGCAAGGACAGCCCCGGCCCCCAGCCAGCCCCCTGCAGGAACTGAGCTCATTGGAAATTCTGAATTCCTAATGGAGGTTACTCGGAAGACGCGTACTTAAGCCTCGTCGCCAAGGATGCGATGCAGGAGGGCTGGGGCGAGTGGTGAGGACTGGACATCTGGGAGCGTCCATCCAGGACGCAGCTGCCCCAGCCAGCATGTGCCGGGGGCCAGGGCGACAGTCTCGCCCCCCCGGTCCGCGGTGCAGAGGCCCTGTGCCACGCCGGCTCTCACCTGCCCAGATGGTCACTCCTCGGGTCGCTGTCCGAGCCCCAGACACTGGGGAGAGTGCCTTCGTGTGCAGTGACGAAGCGCTGGGTTAGGGACGGTGTCGGCCCTTTCTTAAAAAGAAGCTGGTATGACCATCTCTGTTTCGTGTCTGGGTCGTTAACTCGTGCCATGATAAGTGCGTAGGGTTCTTCGGAGTGACCTGGAAACGTGTGACTCGTAGTGTCGCCTCCAGGTAACTTCGTTTCGGATATTTTTGTTTCGAATAACACAGTGAGGACATCCGCTCTGCAATGGAGCTCTCTTCCTTCTCTCCTTCCAGATGGTTCTGACTCCAGAGATAAGCCAAAGCTCTACCGCCTTCAGCTAAGCGTCACCGAAGTGGGGACGGAGAAGTTGGATGACAGCTCCATCCAGGTACAAGCTTCCTGCTTAAGTGACACGTGCCAGCAGCAGCCGGTAGCACAGCGTGGGGTCGGCCCTGATGGGCAGAGGCCACAGGCTCTGCACCCACGCCGTTCTGCTCTGGGTCGCTTTGCTCTGCTCTGGTGAACAAGAGCAGACTGTGAGTTAGGCCCTGGCCGCACCTCAGGAAGTAGGGGCCTAGCGATGGCGGCTCACCTGCGGCCTCTGACCCCTCCACGTGGCGGTGACTGTTCATGGGTCTGCTTCAGGGCGGAAGGCGATGACCTTGCACAGGTGCCTGTCAGTCTGACACATGTGACCGGCACTCTGTAAGTTCTAGTTAAAAGGTGAGCCGGGTCCAGCTCTGGAGGACCGAAGCTGGAGCTCAGCCCCTTCGAGTGAGTGAGTCGGCACGTGGCACTTTGCAGGTGGACTTGGGCAGGCCACTGTGCTGTGCCGTTTTCCTCACGTTAAGTGACATGGCCTCTTGATTGTCGATATCGTTTTCAGCTCTGCCATTCTTTTAATGATCTGATAAATGGTAGCGTGACTGTATGCTTGCTTGTGTTGTTTGTTTGTTTTTGCCATAGGGCACGTGTGCTCGTGGGAGAAAGACCCTGAGAGGGAAGAAAGGAATCACCCCCGAGGACAGCTGAGCCGCAGTCCCTCCTCCTCTTGGGAGTTTTGGAATGCTCCCACACATGCCCAGCATTGTTTTGTTTTTGTTTCTGTTTTTAAGAGATTTTTGCTGTAGGGTGCAAGCAGTCACAGAGAGAGAAAGTGAGAAGTCGCTCTCTGGGGGAGGCCCCTGCTCTGTCCCCCTCTCGAGATTCTGGGCATGTGTGCACACGTGCCCAGTGTGAGGGACACCATAACCGCCATGTCACCTGCAGACCCCCGGCGAGATTTTCAGGCCACAGTGTCTGGGCTCAAACCACGGTTGGCCACGTTGAAGTCCAGCACCTTAACCGCCATGCCACACCACTGGCTCCCCCAGACCAGATGGTTTTAATGCAAAATTAAATCTGCCCGAGTCGCTGCAGCCAAAGCCAAGTTGTTATTTTGACAGTGCTTTGACCGTGTTTGCTTTTACAGTTGGAAGAACCCTCTTTAAAGCACCAGGAAGCCCAGAGCTTATTAGACTCCTCCTTTCCTTTTGAGGGGTTCTTGCAGTAGGGCGCGTGCACAGAGCTCATTAGATTACCTCTGTCCAGAGAGGGAGCTCGGCTTCGAAACCCCGCGTACCTGCTGCGCTCCTCACCCTGGGGCCCCTGGCCTCCCTCTCTCCCCAGCTTTTCGGCCCAGGTGTACAGCCCCATCACTGTGACCTGGCCAACATGGATGGCGTGGTCACCGTGACGCCCAGCAGCATGGACGCGGAGACCTACGTGGACGGTCAGCGCATCTCGGAGACCACGATGCTGCAGAGTGGCATGAAGGTGCAGTTCGGGGCCGCGCACGTGTTCAAGTTCGTGGACCCGAGTCAGGACCATGCCCTGGCCAAGCGATCCGGGGACGCAGGCCTGATGCTGAAGGGCCCGAGGCACAAAGCTGGGTGAGTGCTGCAGACCCGAGGCGGGGGAGCTGGGCTGGGCACGCTTCTCCTCTCTGTGGCTCGATTTAGAGCAGAGTCCAAGTGGGGTTGATTTTCAAGCTACAAAGACAAAGATCTTAACTTCATTTTAAAATTAGAAGTTCTGACTGGTTTTTCAATGTTTTGTATTCAAGCTTTGTTGTTTTTTAGACAATACACTGTACAACACCTGCTCCTTGGAGAGAAGACATGATTTTCTGTATAATTAGCATGTGAATGAGGCTTTTTCATATTTTATTGACCTGTTCCTGACTGACTGACATGGATTAAGTGCTTAAGGGATGGAGACACTCCAGCGCCACCTAGTGCCCCTCTGAGCACGGTACGGTGGCCTCCTGCTGGACAGGGCACCCATCCTGGTGTTTGATAAGACTGACCTGGGGGAAGGAGTGTGACCTACAGCCTCTTAGTGGTCTTTTTTTTTTTTAAGAGAGAGATTTTTGCTATAGATATTCGCCAGAGAGAGAGAGAGAAACGGACAGTGAGAAGTCACCCCCTTAGTGGGGAGGGCCACACTGCAATCCCTACTTCTCTATTCTCCTCTTGGGGTTTGGGACATGCATGCACACACGCCTGACGTGAGTTTAAGCCACTGGGTCTAGGACTTGAACCACGGTCAACTACATGGGAGTCCAGCGACATCTGCTGGACCCATTAATGGTCGTTTTAAAAACTTCAGTACGTAAGATCGACCTGTCATAGCGGTCAGTTTGGGAGAAGTGGCTGCAGCGGCTCTTCCCCTCGTGCTCTGCGACTGCCACGCCTTTGGGAACTGCCTGAGCTCCCACGTGGGCAGGCGCGTCTTCCTTGCACCATGACTGCTTAGGGATTATCCGTGCATTCACTGGGCCAGGCGGGCGCTTGGAAGTTCCTGGGCGGTTTCGGGCCTGGCCTGATCCTTCTCAGCACAGGGCTGTTCTCATACTTAGCAGAGAAAACTAGCAAGTGCCTTCATGCCTGCTTCCCCGGAAGATCCATTTCTTTCTTCTTTTCCTTTAAACTGAGCGTAGACCTCAGCCTACCTTCCGTTCTGTTCCGGAACAGCCAGGGCTTACTCCTCCTCCTCTAAGGCTCTGCTTTCCACCTGCCAGGCGTTGCCACGTCCTGCCCCTTCTGTCCTCTGTCATTGGTCGCCCTCCGCGGGGAGTCACGCGTGCAGGTCTCCCTGGGCTCGGTGACGCGAGGCGAGGAGGCGTTCCGCCGACCATCACAGCTCGTGCCCCGGCAGCACCTGCAGCGTCCGCTCTGCCTGAGCCTGACCTGAGCCTCGTATCCGGGTGGTCGCCGCTTACCCGGATGGCACTTGGCAGTGGTGGCTCTGTCACCAGATATGCCCCGTGCTCCGTGGCTGTGCTCGGTGGCCGCGCTCGGTGAGCGTCTGTGGGCCAGCCTTCGCTTCTCAGCCGTGTGCTTCCTGCTGGAGAAGCCTGCGGTGTCTCTTCGTAGCAGAGACCGTTAAGGAGACAGTTCAGGGCACTCCGAGGACGGGTGCTGGGAAATTCTGTTACTAGTTTTATTTTTAGCAGAACTCATGGAAATTGCTTAGCAGTTACATACGCCATTCCCGTGTCTTAAATGCTAGTTTTTTTTTTTTTTTGGAGAGGTTTTATCGCTATAGGGCACGTGCGCTCACCAGACAGATAGAGACATAGAGCGGTGGCCGCGCTCGGTGAGCGTCTGTGGGCCAGCCTTCGCTTCTCAGCCGTGTGCTTCCTGCTGGAGAAGCCTGCGGTGTCTCTTCGTAGCAGAGACCGTTAAGGAGACAGTTCAGGGCACTCCGAGGACGGGTGCTGGGAAATTCTGTTACTAGTTTTATTTTTAGCAGAACTCATGGAAATTGCTTAGCAGTTACATACGCCATTCCGTGTCTTAATGGCTTTGTTTTTTTTTTTTTTTGGAGAGGTTTTATCGCTATAGGGCACGTGCGCTCACCAGACAGATAGAGACATAGAGACAGAAAGCGAGAAATCACCCCCCAGTGGGGATGGTCACACTGCAATCCCTTCTCCCCCATTCTCCTCTCGGGATCTTGGGCACGCACGCACACACGCCCGGTGTGAGTTTTAAGCCACTGGGTCTGGGACGCGAACCGCGGTCGACTACATGGGAGTCCAGCGACATAGCCATTACGCTAACTGCTGGTTCCCTTAAAGGCTAGTTTTTAACGAGCGTTAGTTTGTCCTCTTGTCAGACTGTCACGGAGTTCTGGGTGTGGAACCTACGTGTCTCATGAAGAAACCTCAGTGTCTGCAGCTTCTCGCTAGTTACCTGCAGGCAGCCTGCTCATGTTGGCAGGCAGCTGGGTATTTAAGGGACTTCAGAGGGCACACTATGGACCCTGACAGCCTGCACTCAGCACCGTTGTCATGTCGCTAACGTGCTCTGAACACTGCTCACAGTCGGGGGCGTCCCCGCGGACTGTCTCCATAGCCAGAAAACCGTGCAGAGGGCCTGGCTGGGGCTTGGCAGTTTGGGTGGTAAAGAACTTTGCATGGTGGTGTGTCTGTCACTCTTGAATGGCAGTTATGGACAGAGCAGGGCAGGACAGCGAGAGAAAGCTAGGGACAGCGATGCTGCGTGTCACTGCAAGGTGGCAGGGGATGAGCCACGCTGTGTGTCACTGTGCGAGGTGATGGGAAGAGCTGTGCTTGCTCCCATCCCCAGAGACTGGAGGGCGGGGCTGCAGGCACCTCTGCTGGGCAGGCTCGGTGCTGGTTGGCGAATGTCTGACCCCGAACACGCGCCGGTGTGTGCAGTCAGGGACGATCTGGCCCTTCGTGGAAACCTGCACTTTTCCGAGTCGTCACGTGGCACTGTGCCGCGTTACAAGGAGGTTTGATGTCCTCAGCGTTGAGGTAGAGGAGGGATCTATACCTGTGCTCTCACTTGAAAACCCGTCTTGAGCTCCCGTACCCTGTATGGGTAGGGTATCGATTGAACCTCCTTTCACCTTACTGTGGTGCGATGGGATTGCATGGTGTACTTTTTAAACGTTATACGAAAGAACTTGATTCTTCTCGATTGTCATGGACAGGAATTTAGGAAATCTAGTCCTTGATTCATCCTTACTGGTTTTCAGCCCTTTTAGGGCTCCTTTTTCCTCTTTGGGGCTGGGGGCCCCTGTTGAGTGGGGCAGTAGATTGCACTCTCCCTCTTTTCCAAAGAGATATTTTGCTCCAGCTTGCTAGACAGTTCAGACAGACTGCTTGTAATCTGAATTCATTTTTTATAGCAGCTCTGGCATTTTAAGATTTTCCAGAATCTTTGAAGTTGGCCACCTGCTGGGAACCCGCCTGGCAGAATGGAGGCGTGTGGTGCCCTGCCCACTGCGTGGGTTCTCTGAGCCCAGTGAACTTCCAGCAGGCAGCAGGCACCATGCCCACGACATCCACTCCACCTTCGAATGGAGGGCTGCTTGCCCTCGGTGCGGCCGCCTCGCCCTCCCTCGTCTGGAGACAGGGTCCCGGCCGCTCAGTCTTCACGGCCTCTTCATGTGCTGTGGCCCGCGTCACCTGGCTTGCTCCCCCCGCTCGGGCTCTTGGTGCCCAGCCCACCTCTTGTTACAGAGGCACGGTTTAAGACGTGACCCTGAGAGTTCGGTATACACGAGTGGAGAAGTGCGTCAAGTCACGGGGCTTTCTGTAAGTGTGTGCTGAGAGTAGCGCCTTTTTGCAGCTCTGCAGACAGTGGGGTAGTCGGCTGTGACCATTTCTTTGCTGTTATTTGGAAAGACTTTGCCTTGCCGCGTGAAAGCTGTGAATTGTTTGTCCCTCCCCACCCTGACAGGATTGTTCAGGAGACGACGTTCGACTTAGGAGGAGACATTCACAGCGCGACAGCGTTGCCCACAAGCAAGGTGAGTGATGCCGCCCCTCGCAGGACGCCGTGGCAGCTGTTCCGATGTGGCGTCCCCAACTCCCGTCACGCGGACGCCCGGCCTCAGCTGTGGGCTGAGTCACAGAGCGGCCTTGCTCCCGAGGCCAGGGCGCTGTGCCTTCTCTTCCAAGTGGCACGTGTGTGCGTCCTGGGCATCCCCGTTGGTCACATTGTCCCCAAGGCCACAGGTGTGGGGCCCCTCCTCCACCAGCCTCTCCTTCCTGTCCCACACAGTCGCTGTCTCCTGCTGGCAAGGACCCCACCCTGGCAGCGCGGGCCCGCAGTGACCCACATATCCATGCTGAGCAGTCCGGGCCCTGCCCTGCTGTCTGTGGGTCTCTCAATGGCTGCATCTCAGCAGGCCACCATGCCCGGACCGTGCTGATGTAGTGGGGCCTCATCCCAGCAGGCCACCGTGCCCGGACCGTGCTGACGTAGCGGGGCCCTCTCCGTACCTCTCAGGGCCTGTGCAGCGTTTTTGCCCATCGGGTGGCCCCGAGTCTTAGTCCTGTGGTCCCGAGACCCCAGAAATCCAGGCCTTCCCGAGGACAGCCCACAGCATGCAGCAGCGGCACCTTCACCTCCCCAACCTGCAGTCGAGGCTCAGCCTGGAGTCGGGAGGGCCTAGGTGTGGCACTTGGGCGTCCTGTGGGAGAGCTAGGCCTCCCCCCCCCCCCCCGTCTCAGACACCTGTTCACAGCATGGCCACCCCTGAAAAGCCCCTGGCCGGCGCGGCTTCCTGACACCGTGCCTTTCCTTGGCCCTCACGGCCTCCTGCCCGCTGTGGGCACCAGGGAAGTCTTGGCTGCCAGATCCGGCCCTGGCCATGTGCCTGTCCCGGCAGGTATGACCCAGGCCCCTGCTGCTCCACGCACTTCCCTCCTGGGCTCCTAGGGTGTCGGTCCTCTGAGTCTCCCCTCCTCAGTCCTTTCAGGCTTGACCTGCCGGGTGTAGACAGCCGAGGATGCAGACCTGGGGCGGCCTCTTCGCTTTCTGCATGTCCCCTGGGTGGCCTCACAGCAGCCTCATGACACGTTCCCCTCACCGTGTGCCGTGCGCCCTCGGCCCCATCTCCAGGTCTCGCACGACGCCTCCCCTCGGGTGTGTGACACACGGTTCAGACCCCACGTAGCTAAGCCGAGCCAGCGTGCCCTTCCTCCTCCAGAGCTCAGTGTGCAATGCCACTGTCCACAGCGTCTCGCGCCCTGTCCCCAAGGCCTCCGCAGGCAGCGGCCGCCAGGTTCTGTCTGCTCTAACCCAAGGTGGGGACCCAGCTCACTGCCGTCACTGCCCCTCCTGTGACGTGTCTCACGCCAGCTCCAGGTTTTGCAGCTGCAGGAGCCCGTGTGCTTCTTACCCTCGAGTGCCAGTGCTTCTGGGCACGCCACGGGGACACTGCGGTCTCCCATGGCCACCCGGGCTCTGCTGCTTGGGTAGGTGGTGCATGCTCTGAGCGCCCTGTGCTTCCCTTCCCGGACAGAGCACTGCCAGACTGGATGGCGACCACGTGTCCTCTGCTGCCAGCACCACGGAGCGGGGGACGGTGAAGCCGGCGAGCAGAGCCGAGCAGCATGACGGCCGCAGGCAGGAGAGCAGGTGGGCAGCGTGTTCTCGCCTCGGGTGGGCCGGTGCGGAGCTGCAGCTGGCTGGCGGTCGTGCCGAGCGCGGTTCCTTTTCCTTCCCCCTTTCCCTTGACGCTGTGCACCTCTCCCTCCTGCCGGGGGAGCCCTGAAGAAGGGGCACGTTGAAGCTGAGGGGTTGCTGCTCTGAGAAAACATAGGGAGGAGTGGTTCTTGTAGGGTCTTAATATTTGATCGGTTCTGATCACCTGGGCATTTGTAGAAATCCCCACGTTTAAAAATAACTGAGTGAAAGTGTTTTTGAGAGTTTTAAGGGCCATGGAGTGCCACGTGGGCCTCTCCTGGCCTCGGTGGGCCGTGGCTATCTGCCTGCCGAGAGAGGCAGAGTTAGTGTTTTCTTCTGGCCCTGTTCTGGCCTCGCTTTCTGGGGCAGAATATTCCCTCCTTTACGATTTCTTCCTTATGCTTTTTAGTATGTTTCATCTTTTTTTTGGGGGGGTGGAGGTTGCTATATTGTTCGTGTGCTCACCAGAAAGACAGAGCGAGACAGAGAGACAGAAAGTGAGAAGTCACCCCCTGGGGGGATGGCCATGCTGCAATCCCTTCTCCATTCTCTTGGGATCTTGGGCACGCACGCACACACACGCGCCCGGCGTGTGTTTAAGCCACCAGGTTCAGGACTCCAACTGCAGGCCACTACATGGGAGTCCAGCGACATAGTCATTATGCCAATTGCTGGTCCCAATATGTGTCATCTTAATAAAACAGAACCATTTCCTTACGGTGACCCCCGGAGTTATCTGAGTACTGAAGGACGATGTGGGCCCTTGGGCGTGGGGCTCTCGCAACAGGTGCACCCACGTATGCCCTGCTCGAGCCGTGTTCCTGGACTGCAGCCCGTGCTTGCAGCTTTCACGGTGTCCTTGCTGGCAGCCTTGGGCCTGCGGCGTGTCTCCTCCATGACTCCCTATAGATCCAGTGCCTGGGACGGGTCACTGGGTGGGGACTTGACCAGGGCTCCTGCCAGTCCTTGGGAGGAAGTTCTTTCTCTCTGCCGTCCAGCAGAGGGCGCTATGTCTGTGCTCGTCCCAGGACGATGCTTCTGCTTCTCTCAGACGTTAAATGCGCAGGTTCCCCAGGGAGCCCAGTGTTGCCTCTGTAAGCCCTGGTAGCCGTGCGAGCTTTTCAGCTCTGTCTGGGGGCCTCGTGGGCACGGAGCTGCAGAAGCAGCAGTCCAGGGGGTCGGGAGGCCCCTCCAGGCCCTGGTAAGGCGCCGTCGCGACCCTATGCCATAGGGGCTGAGTTCAGGTATGGGAGGGCAAGGGTGGCCGTGATGGGTCTCCATGCACAAGAGCAGAGGTGTGTGCAGAGCACAGTACATGGTACCTGCAGCTTCAGGGTGGTCGCAGCTGCTCGTGTGGGGGAGGAGGTGCTCCCCTGCCAGGTGACGTCCCGTCGCCCCGCCCTTTATTTCCAGTTGAGTTTGCAGGAAGGTGAAGCACATCTTCCTGGGCCTTTTCACTGTCAGTTTCACTTGTCCCGTTTTCCCGAAGACAGTTTCAAAGCATTCTTCCTGGTCACCTCTTGTGCAGTTAAAGCCGATGCAGATACTGAAGTGTTAATGAAGCTAGCCCCTTATGTGTTTGTTCAATTGTTGTTTTGGTAATGCTTTGGGAATTATTTTTATTTAACTATTTTATTTATTTACTTATTTTAATTTGACCAAAGAGGGACAGAGCGAGAACGAGA